CCAGAAGTGACGTCATGGCACTAGCAGTGACCTCACAAGGCTAGCAGTGATGTCATAAGGGTAGGAGTGACGTCACAAGCCTAGTAGTGACGTCGCGACACTAGCAGTGAGGTCACAAGACCAACGGTGACGTCACGACATTAGCAGTGACGTCACAATGCCAGCAGTGACGTCATAAAGCTAGAAGTGACGTCACAAGCCTAGTAGTGGCGTCACGACACTAGCAGTGACGTCACAAGGCCAGTAGTGACGTCACAAAATCAGCAGTAACATCACAAAGCCAGCAGTGACATCATAAGGCCAACAGTAACCTCACAAGACCAGCATTGACATCGCAAGGCCAGCAGTAACATCACAGGGTCAGCAGTGACATCACAAGGCCAGCAATGGCTTCACAAGGTCATCAGTGACTTCACAAGATCAGCACTGACGTCACATGGAAAGCAGTGACATCACAATGTCAGCAGTGTCGTCACAAGGGCAGCAGTGACATCAAAAGGCTAGCAGTGACACCACAAGGTCAGCAGTGGCATCACAAGGCCAGCAGTGACATCGCAATGCCAACAGTGACGTCACAAAACCAGCAGTGACATCACAAGGACAGCAGTGGCATCACAAAGCCATCAGCGACATCATAAGGCCAGCAGTGGCGTCACAAGGCCAGCAGTGACATCACAAGGCCAGCAGAGACATCACAAGGCCTGCAATGATGTCACAAGGTCAGCAGTGGCGTCACAAGGCCAGCAGTGACGTCACAAGGTAAGCAGTGGCGTCACAAGGCCAATCAGTGACATTACAAGGCCAGCAGTGACGTCACAATACCAGCAGTGACATCACAAGGCCAGCAGTGACATCACAAAGCGATGAGTGACATCACAATGCCAGCAGTGACATCATAAAGCCATGAGTGACATCACAAAACTAGCAGTGACATCACAAGGTCAGCAGTGACATCACAAGGCCAACAATGACATCACGAGGCCAACTACGACATCACAAGACCAACAATGACATAAAAAGTTCAGCAGTGCGTCACAAAGTCAGCAGTGACATCACAAGGTCAGCAGTAGCGTCACAAGGTCATCAGTGGCGTCGCAAGGTCAGCAGTGAGGTCACAAGACCAGCAGTGACATCACAAGGCCAAAAATAACATCACAAGATCAGCAGTGGCGTCACAAGGTCAGCAGTGACATCACAAAGTCAACAATGACATCACAAGGACAACAATGACATCACAAGGCCAACAATGACATCAAAAGGTCAGCAGTGGCGTCACAAGGCCAGCAGTGGCGTCACAAAGTCAGCAGTGGCGTCACAAGATCAGCAGTAGCATCACAAGGTCAGCAGTGGCGTCACAAGACTAGCAGTGACGTCACAAGGTCAGCAATGGCGTCACAAGGTCAGTATTGACGTCACAAGGTCAGAAGTGGCGTCAGGTCAGCAGTGGCGTCACCAGGCCAGCAGTGACGTCACAAGATCAGCAGTGACGCCACAAGGTTAGCTTTGACGTCACAAGACCAGCAATGGCGTCACAAGGTCAGCAGTGGCGCCACAAGGTCAGCAGTAACGTCACAAAGTCAGCAGTGGCGTCACAAGGCCAGCAATGACGTCACAAGGTCAACAGTGACGTCACAAGGTCAGCAGTGACGTCACAAGGCCAGCAGTGACGTCACAAGGCCAGCAGTGACGTCACAAGGTCAACAGTGACGTCACAAGGCCACAATGACGTCACAAGGTCAGCAGTGACGTCACAAGGCCAGCAGTGACGTCACAAAGTCAACAGTGACGTCACAAGACCAGCAGTGACGTCACAAGACCAGCAGTGACGTCACAAGGCCAGCAGTGACGTCACAAGGCCAGCAATGACGTCACAAGGTCAACAGTGACGTCACAAGGCCAGCAGTGACGTCACAAGGCCAGCAGTGACGTCACAAGGCTAGCAGTGACGTCACAAGGTCAACAGTGACGTCACAAGGCCAGAAGTGACGTCACAAGGCCAGCAGTGACGTCACAAGGCCAGCAGTGACGTCACAAGGCCAGCAGTGACGTCACAAGGCCAGCAATGACGTCACAAGGCCAGCAGTGACGTCACAAGGCCAGCAGTGACGTCACAAGGCCAGCAGTGACGTCACAAGGTCAACAGTGACGTCACAAGGCCAGCAGTGACGTCACAAGGCCAGCAGTGACGTCACAAGGTCAGCAGTGACGTCACAAGGTCAGCAGTGACGTCAGTTTCACTGACGTCACTGCCATCAATTGCTTAATTACAGTCAAAATAAATTACATTGAAAAACTTGCTCCAGAAAACTGATAAAATATCATTAACAAAATATTTTTTTAGGTACAGGAATTTTTTCTTATTTTGTTGAAGTGAAAAAATATATAAATATCACGTGATGGCAAGAGTGTTCCAGTGTTCCAGTGTTCCGTGTTCCAGTGTTCCGTGTTCCAGTGTTACTGTGTTCCAGTGTTCCTGTGTTCCAGTGTTCCTTCAGCGTTCCTGTGATTCTTTAGTGTTCCTGTGTTCCTTCAGTGTTCCTGTGTTCAAGTGTTCCTTCAGTATTCCTGGGCTCCCTCGGTGTTCCATTGTTCCTTCACCGTTCCTGTTTCTGTTTGTAAATAGTGTCTTGTTGCAGCTGAAGGAAAAGAATAAACTTGCTTCAGGGAAAACTCAAGGTTCTCCCTGAAGCTGTTTGAGAATTTTCTCCTACCACCCCATATATTTAATGTATATTTTATTTAAAGACAAAATACATTGACAAAACATTCACAAAAATACAATAGAAAGTAAAACAACAAAGATAACAACTCAGAGCTACATCTCGAATACTTCGTCTAGCTCCCCGGCGGTGGGCCGCGTGACCAGAATGCTGCAGGCATTTCCTCTCTGGATCGCAACACTGAGTCTCTGAAAGAGGAAGCTGGTCGCCCTGTGGTCCTTGGTTTCTATGATGAGCATTTCACCCAGCTCTTTGAGGAACTTTAGAGCACACTTGCCCCATGCTCCAAGGGTCTCCGACCCTATTGGGATTAATTAAGTTATAGCAAGGGGGAAGGTCTTCATATTTTCGGATCTTCTGGGTGCCCCTGTGGCTGACAACTCTATCCCCTTCCACTACGGAGTATTGTAAGTAGGCGTCTGCCAATGTGGCGGCACAGGTGTAGTTCCAGGCAATCTGCTTTCCATCCTTCCAGGGTAGCATATTGGCTCCATCAAGACGCTTTTGACTTCCGTCAGACCTCTTCACTTGGGGTTCCCGTTAAGCTGGGCAACGGGCTGTGGCGAGGCTTCTCTTTATGATGTCATTGACCTCGTCATGCCTGGCATACTTCCCTTCTGCTGTGTGACACACGAGACCATGAAGTCCGAATTGATCAGCCATCGCCCTGCTGCAAATACGCCTATGTTTGGTGAGGATGGGGGCGGCTAGGCGAAGAGCAACACCAATCCGAATGGCCTGTGGATCGAGTCGAGTGTCCAGGGAGGAATTGGGAACAGCTAAAAAGAAATCTGAGTGTGGTGCCTTCACTGCCAGAAGACGAGCTTTGTCCTTTCCTGCAGCGTTGGTGAGCATTGTGTTGGCGATTTTTTCCATGATCGGTTTGTCCCATTGGGACTGTTTGTGTTCTTTGGGAGGAGCTGGTCTACTGGAGGAGTCTGTAAGGGTGTCCCACCGCATCGCTGCTTCAGTAAACTTGGGGTCTTGAGCTCCTACCACGTCTCTCAAGCGTTCGGGGACAATCTTCTTGACTAATGCACTGGAAGCCAACCACAAAGACAGAAAAGCAGGTAAAGCAACATGCGTTGCTTTACGCACCCCTATACCTCCCAGTCGCACTGGGAGGGTTGCCTGATCCCATTGCTGATCCTCTAGTGACAGGTTCAGTGCCTTCTTAAAGGTTGACCTCAGGTGTGCGTCATATTCGTCGCGTGTTGGGTTGTCAAAAAGGGTGCACACCTCAGGAAGTAAGTGAGTCTTGGCATAGTAAGACGCCTTGTGAGGAGATACAGAGCATCATGGGCATCAAAATCGCTTATTCTCTCCTCCATCCTCATCAGGTCATTCAATTTGTCCTTGAGGACAGTGTCGATGGCCTGGTGACCCAGCGGTGCTCCCAAGAGGGTACTGTTGGACGGAGTGGTAGTAGAGACTTCCGAAGAAATTCTTTGCACGCATATATATAATATAATATATATATCTATATATATATATATATGTATATTATATATATATATATATATATATATTATATTATATATATTATTATATATTATTAATATATATTATATATAATATATTTAATATATATCATATTTATATATATATATTTATATCTATACTATCTATATAAGTGTCGTGCCGAATATGTAAAACTGGTCAATTAGCAAGAACATCATTTAAAAATAAGTCCTTCTAAAATTTTCTCATAACGTTTAAGATATATTTTTTTCATAATTTTAATGTACAATTTTTAATTTTGCTCAAAAGAATCTTAGAAAACTTACTTAACTTATTATAACAAGAACAATTATTTAGCTAACCCATAAATATTTTAGATTTGTTTACAATAATTTAATACTAAGCAAACACAGTGAAATATATTTTTCGTTAGGTTCAGAATGATTTTGGAGAAATTATTCCATACACAAATTTTTCGCTTGTCCTATGATGGCAAGATGAGCGTTGCTATTTAAGCCAAGATCCCAAGTTCTGCTATTCGGCACGAATATATATTATATATATTATATATAGATATATAATTATTAATATATATATATATATTATATATATATATATATATATATATATTATATATATATATATAATATATATATATATATATATATATATATATATATATATACCCAAAAATCACTACCATCCATACTTCACCACAATCAACCAACTACAATCTTCCTCAGGTATCCAGAATCAATCACGATCTTACTCAGGTACTCTTAACGTCACTACCAACCACAGTCTTCCTTAGGTACTCACTTAACCAGCGTCAGGTTCTCTCGTGGTATCTCCCTCAGGTCCTTGATCGTACAGGTACCGCCTCCGAACTCGTAATTAGGATTGTACTCAGTCACCATACCTCCTGAGGACGCTCTGAGTCCACTCAGCTGAATTTCAGGACCCCCGCTGAACATACCTCGTCTCATTAGGTCAAACTTCTTGCGTTGGTACCTGTTGTCTGTTGGGGGAGATGGTACCTAGTTACTGTGAGGGTAGATGGTACCTAGTTACTGTGAGGGTAGATGGTACCTAGTTACTGTGAGGGTAGATGGTAATTAGTTATTGTGAGAGGCGATGGTGCCAAGTTATTGTGAGGGTAGATGGTACATAGTTATTGTTAGGGAGATGGTACCTAGTTACTGTGAGGTAAGATGGTACCTAGTTACTCATAATTCTATTAAAACAAACGATTTCCTCTCATGATAAGACAGTTAGCTAACTACTACTACCAATATCACTACTGATATTACTACTACTACTAGTACTACTACTATCACTACCACCTCTACTACTACTCTCGGAGCTAGAACTACCAGCCTCCCTACCACAACTCCACCATGCCCAAGGAGGTGGTGCATACTCACAGCAGCAGATAGACGTGGTGGATATCAGAATGATGAGCAGAATACCCATTACTATGATGATAAGGTAGACTGTCTGCGGGAAGGTCACCCCAGAGTCTGCTGTGGAAGGTAAAGCGAACCATGTTAGTTGTCACTCACAATACCCTGCTGCAACAATTCACAACCTACAATATCCTGGCTACAACAATTCACAACCTACAATACCCTGGCTACAACAATTCACAACCTACAATACCCTGGCTGCAACAATTCACAACCTACAATACCCTGGCTGCAACAATTCACAACCTGCAATACCGAGGCTACAACAATTCACTACCTACAATACCCTGGCTGCAATAATTCACAACCTACAATACCCTGGCTACAACAATTCACAACCTACAATACCCTGGCTACAACAATTCACAACCTACAATACCCTGGCTGCAACAATTCACAACCTACAATACCCTGGCTGCAACAATTCACAACCTGCAATACCGAGGCTACAACAATTCACTACCTACAATACCCTGGCTGCAACAATTCACAACCTACAATACCCTGGCTGCAACAATTCACAACCTACAATACCCTGGCTACAACAATTCACAACCTACAATACCCTGGCGCAACAATTCACTACTACAATACCCTGGCTACAACAATTCACTACCTACAATACCCTGGCTGCAACAATTCACAACCTACAATACCCTGGCTGCAACATCACTACCTACAATACCCTGGCTGACAACAATTCTCACCTACAATACCCTGGCTACAACACATTCACTAACCTACAATACCCTGGCTACAACAATTCACTAACCTACAATACCATGGCTGCAACAATTCACTACCTACAATAACCTGGCTGCAACACAGTTCACACCTACAATACCCTGGCTGCAACAATTCACTACCTACAATACCTGGCTCAACAATTTCACTACCTACAATACCCTGGCTACAACAATTCACTACCTACAATACCCTGGCTACAACAATTCACTACCTACAATACCCTGGCTACAACAATTCACAACCTACAATACCCTGGCTACAACTCACTACCTACAATACCCTGGCTACAACAATTCTCTACCTACAATACCCTGGCTACAACAATTCACTACCTACAGTACCCTGGCTACAACAATTCACTACCTACAATACCATGGCTACAACAATTCACTACCTACAATACCCTGGCTACAACAATTCACTACCTACAATACCCTGGCTACAACAATTCACTACCTACAATACCCTGGCTACAACAATTCACTACCTACAATACCGTGGCTACAACAATTCACTACCTATAATACCCTGGCTACAACAATTCACTGCCTACAATACCCTGGCTACAACAATTCACAACCTACAATACCCTGGACTACAACAATTCACTACTACAATACCCTGGCTACAACAATTCACTACCTACAATACCCGTGGCTCAACAATTCACACCTACAATACCCTGGCTCAACAATTCACTACCTACAATACCCTGGATACAACAATTCACTACCTACAATACCCTGGCTACAACAATTCACTACCTACAATACCCTGGCTACAACAATTCACTACCTACAATACCTGGCTACAACAATTCACTACCTACAATAACCTGGCTACAACATTTCACAACCTACAATACCTGGCTGACAACAATTCACAACCTACAATACCTGGCTACAACAATTCACTACCTACAATACCCTGGCTACAACAATTCACTACCTACAATACCCTGGCTACAACAATTCACTGCCTACAATACCCTGGCTACAACAATTCACTACCTACAATACCCTGGCTACATAATCACTACCTACAATACCCTGGCTACAACAATTCACTACCTACAATACCCTGGATACAACAATTCACTACCTACA